GGGACCCTGCTCAGAGCCCAGACCCCTCCCAAGGGGATGGGTGGGGGAAGTGAGAGCTGGGTTGTGATAGAATCAGACTCAGTCTTAAAGGACTTGGGGGCACATGGTAAAGTGTGACCCCTTCCCCTAGGCAATGCTGTGCAAGGAGCTGCCCGGAACTTGATCCATGCCTGGGACCGAGATGGACAGAGCACAAGCCCTGGACCAATGCAGGGGGAGAGCAGGCCTGGCCTGCTCTCAGGGAGGACAAGGATGCCCAGGTCGCTCCGTTGCTCTGAAATCACCCCCCTCTCTAACAAACTAGACCCCACCCCAGCTGGGGACAGAACATCGACCCGTTTAGCATCACATCAGGGAACTGAGGTCAGCACAACCAACAGTTCTTCCTGAAACCCACTGAACAACTGTCCAGTGCTAACACTCTCTGGCAGGGTAAATGAATTGGACAGTCATGGGAGTGGGGAGCCCAGGAGTTACTCACTGGCCAAGAGGGAGTTGAGCTCCCTCTCCACCCTGCTGGGAGAATGGCAACACAGTGATGCACTGTCCGGAGCCTTTCCCTGCTGCAATGGGGCACAAAGCCAGGTAAGCATCCTCCACTCATGCTCAGACCCCTGCACCTTAATCCCCCTCTCTCATTCCCCTCCTCCTGCCAAGACCCCGCACTCCCAGCTTGTTCTACACCTTCCCTTGCTCCTGCACCCTCCCTTGTTCCAGCACCTCCCCCCGACTAGACACCTACCCCCACCTTGCTCCTACATCCACCATTGCTCTTGAACTCTCCCTTGCTCTTGCTCCCACCCCACTCCCAGCCTGCTTCTGTACCCTACTTCCCACCCAGACCTTGCACCCTCACCCCCTCCTGCACCACATCTTCCACCCAGATTCTGCACCCCCCATCCCTATTCCACTTGCTGGCAGCCCAGTCCCCCACATTGAACCTCTCATTTTTGTCCACCCCAGAGCCTAAGGGGATCTACAAAATTCATTAAACCTGAAACCCCAGAAAAGTAAATCTGGCCTACGGGAAGCCCTGCACCTCAGTCCTCTGTCCCTTCCCCTCGCCCCGTGGGGCTGGAGAGCCAGAGGAGTGTGGAGTCTCAGTTAGGGGTCACATCAGTGAGGGTTGGTGGTTTTGGAGTTTTTTTGCTTGTCACTTGTGAGGTCCCCAACTGATTTTTCTGTGGGTCTGTGGCCTCTGACCCAAAAAAGAGTCTCCACCCTTGCCATAAAGAAAACATTTAAACCTTGTGTGTTGGACATAATTAATATTTTAGTTATTCAAACTTCATTTTAAATAAAGTAACACGAGAAAATTAACACACTTAATTGCTTAATAATTTAAATTAAACCATTTCCCCTAGTTACAGCACTAGCCAAATGGCCATAGGCCAAAAAGTTTGAGAACTACTGCAATAGCACATGTCCTTTATTATAGAGGTAACAGTCCTGACTCTATAATTATAATTGCACTAGTTTTTCATTTAAAGCATCTTTGAGTATGAAAAATACAATACCTTAAATACAGAACATTTTAATAAGAAAATCCATTAATTAGCATGAGTTAAAATTAACCTATAACTGAGATAAGACTGGCAATCAGCATTAAAAAGCCAAAGAAACTCAAGATGCTGGGAGATTTAGGTTCAATTTTTTGCTTTACCACCGACTTCCTGCATGCTGTTGGGTAAATAGTGTGCCTCAGTTCTGCATATCATTAATTGGGAATTATAGCTCTCTCTCAAAGTTATTGTGAGGATAAGCGGCGAGGAGTCCTGTGGCACCTTATAGACTAACTGAAGTGTAGGAGCATAAGCTTTCGTGGGCAAAGACGAAGTGGATCTTTGCCCACGAAAGCTTATGCTCCTACACTTCAGTTAGTCTATAAGGTGCCACAGGACTCCTCGCCGCTTATCCTCACAATAACTTTGAGAGAGAGCTATAATTCCCAATTAATGATATGCAGAACTGAGGCACACTATTTACCCAACAGCATGCAGGAAGTCGGTGGTAAAGCAAAAAATTGAACCTAAATCTCCCAGCATCTTGAGTTACTTTGGCTTTGCAGATTCAGACTAACACGGCTACCCCTCTGATACTTGACATTGTGAGGATAAATTAATCAAAGACGTGCTCAGATGTTAAATGTACGAGGGCCACACGAGACTCTACAATCGCTTGAGAATAATAGGAGTTTAACAACATCCTGGAAAAATATGGATAATACACTGTGGCTTTAACCCCTTCTCCCCCCATAGTTTCACTGTGGTATGGTATTCTTCATGCATTGGCACCAAATGCCGTTTTAACAGATGCCACTTTTCAACAGAGATGGCTGCATTTTAGCAGTGGGCAGTGATTCTTTCTGCATGTTTGTGAAGTGTTTCCAAATTAATTGACGAAAGACATTTAAACATATTTAGAATTATGATCATATATTTTACAAAGAAAGCATCATTTTTAGGCTAGGTTCCGTTACAAAAAGTTGGCAATGAAGAGTCAAACAAGTAAAAAAAATTCACTTTGTTCAATTTGTTGTGCAAAAGACCATAACATTGGCCCTTAAAGAGTAGAGAGAGGACTCTGAGTTTAAATTTCTATTTTCTTCTGGCCTTGGATTTTAGTGCTAAGCTGAAATTTCACTTTTGAAGCATGTGGGTTTATCTGTGACAAGACACACATTGGGAATGCTGGTCACTCACCTGGACAGCCTCCAGAAAGCGACCCCCACTGACAATCTCCTCCCTCCTTAGCATGATGGTTTTATTTACTTTTTATGTAAATGTATTCCGATTGTCTCTTATCTTGGAAGTATCTTCCAAGGGATAAAAACACGGTCTTTTGTCTAAGATGAGGTAAAATCAGCCTACCTGGACACACATTGGGAATGCTGGTCACTCACCTGGACAGCCTCCAGAAAGCGACCCCCACTGACAATCTCCTCCCTCCTTAGCATGATGGTTTTATTTACTTTTTATGTAAATGTATTCCGATTGTCTCTTATCTTGGAAGTATCTTCCAAGGGATAAAAACACGGTCTTTTGTCTAAGATGAGGTAAAATCAGCCTACCTGGGCAGACATATTTTAAGAACATAATTC